ATTTACCTGTGAATATTGCTTTAGTCATTATGTAACGATATTGGTACTGATCATTTCCAAATACCACCTGCTATTTGAAGATTGGCGGGGATATCTTTTCGGCGGATTTGCTTTGGTCTGGATCGCCAACACTTACATTTCACTTTTCGGCTTGTTGCGCCAGGGATTGAAGAAAGAGAAAATCACTGCCAACCTGAAAGAAGTCGAGCTGAAAGAAGTAAAGCAAAACACGAATGGCGGCAAGCAACAGGAATTATCTTGATCGCAGTACAAGCAATGTCTCCCTTTTCCTTTTCAACAACATATCGTCACCATTGACTTCATAGCGGTCAACTTTTGAGAGCAGGTCAAGAAATGTATTTTCAAATTCGATATCGACACAACTCATTTTTGTACTGATGACATCTGAGAAGCGGATGGAATTTTTTTCTACACTATAAACACCATTCAGCTGGTTACATCCGCCATTTCCCCTGAACTTTTTCTCATTGACATCGAAGTTTATAAAAGCGTCGTTCCTGTTTCCGCTTTGCTGTACTGGAACTCCCTTCATTTCAACCAAAACCCAACGCTGGCGACCCCAACCTGCGTCAGGCGAAAGACGTGGTGAACAACTGGCAAGTAGTACAACGAAAGATATGACGGCAAACAGATTTTTCATACTTAAGCATTTAAATGAATGTATACTGTACCATATGAAAAATTATGCCAGTAATTTGACTAACGATAGAGTAAAATGTCGTGAACCCCTGTTGGATAACTTTGCCACGCAATATTGTCATGCATTTTCAGTTGTACAGCTATGGTATGGTTTTAGTGCAACATCACTAAACATAACACTACATTGAAAAGAGAACCTTCACTTGTATTTTGTGTAGCAATGGATATCATTGGATACGCAACCTATGCCATTCCGTTTCTTGGTGAATTGGGCGATATTATCTGGGCTCCCATTTCAGCGTTAATATTCTTCAGAACGTTTGGTGGTTGGAAAGGCGCGTTCGGTGGTCTGTTCAATTTCGCCGAAGAAATATTACCGTTTACCGATTTCATTCCCACTTTTACGATCGCCTGGATATGGCGGTACACTTCTCAGAAACGTCAAAATGTGAGTGCGCCAAAGCGCAGTTTACAAAAGACGATTTTCTCCGCGGGCAGATAGACCTGTCATTTTTCTTATCGCCTGAAACGGTTCCGCC